TTTTTTCACTTGAGACACCATAGCAATCTCTCCTCCTCAGAAGATTGGAAGCTTCCCCCTTTTTTTTTTTTTAAGTTCAACATATTTAACCATACTTCTGGTCAAGATGGAGGCATAAGCAAATACACCTTGCCTCCCTGCACAGAACTATAGCAAAAAATACAGCTACACTACAAAACAAATATCACCCAGAATTGTCAGAAAATTGAGCTGTGTGGAAATCCCACAACCAAGAATTTAAAGAAGCTACGTTCACCTAGAAGGGAGGAGAGGTAGAGATGCAGAGAGTGGAGAGAGACATGGAGTGGCACAGAGAAATGCCAAGACAGTAACGGGCAGTCCCACATCTCTGTGTGGTATATAAAAAATGGGAGGCATACCTCAGGAATGAGGGACTACGCCCCAGGCCAGACCACCCAGCCCAGGGTCCCAGTGCCAGGAAGATGAGTCCCCATAACTTCTGGCTGTAAAAACCAGTGGGGCTTGGGGCAGCAGAAGAAACTGCATCCTCTTAAAGGACCTGAAACAGACTTAGGATTGATGCAGACCCCCTCTTGGATTCAGCACAAAGGCAACAACTTAGAAGGGCACCAGTGGCATATGGGGAAAAAGTGAAGTGTGAGTGGGGAGACAGCTTCCTCCCAGGTGAAACTCAAGAGGCCAGGCAGTGGCATTGTCTTCTCTGCAAGCCCTCCCCGACGCAGAGCAATAGAGTGGTAACATGGTTGCCCCACCCTGGTGATTACCTAAGGCTATACCCCATGTACCTAATACTAGAAACAAACACAGGGAGGCTGCCAAAATGAGGAGATGGAGAAATGTGGTCCAAATGAAAGAACAGAACAAAACTCCAGAAAAAGAACTAAATAAAATGGAGATAAGCAAACTATCAGATGCACAGTTCAAAACACCAGTTATCAGGATGCTCCAGGAACTCAGTGGGTACTTCGATCCCATGAAAAAGACTGAGGTAGATATGAAGGTTGCATTAAGCGAAATAAAGAAAAATCCATAGGGAACCAACAGTGGGGAGGATAAAGCCAAAAATTAAATCAACAATTTGGAACACAACAGAAGAAAATCATTCAATCAGAACAGCAGGAAGAAAAAAGAATTAAAAAAACAATGGTAAGCTTAGGAACCTTTGGGACATCTTTCAACATACCAAAATCTGAATCATAGGGATGCTAGAAGGAGGTGAGGAAGAGCAGGAAATTGAAAACTTATTTGAAAAAATAATGAAAGAAAATTTCCTTAATTTGTTAAAGGAAATAGACTTCAAGGAAGTCCAGGAAGCACAGAGTCCCAAACAAGATGGACCCAAAGAGGACCACACCAAGACACATCATAATTAAAATGCCAGAGGTTAAAGATAAAGAGATAATTTTAAAAGCAGGAAGAGAAAAGCAGACAATTACCTACAAAGGAGTTCCCATAAGACTGTTAGCTGATTTCTCAAAAGAAACTTTGCAGGCTAGAGGAGATTGGCAAGATCTTCAAAGTGATGTAAAGCAAGGACCTACAGCCAAAATTACTCTATCTAGCAAAACTATCACTTAGAATGGAAAGACAGATAAAATGCTTCTCAGAAAAGATAAAACTAAAGTTCATCACCAAGCCATTATTATATGAAATGCTAAAGGAAATTATATAAGAAAAAGATCAAAACAAATGTTAAAATGGCAGTAAATTCACAACTATCAATAATTGAATCCAAATAACAAACTAAGCAAACAAGCAGAACAGGAAGAGAATCATAGATCTGGAGATCATTTGGAGTGTTATCAGTTGGGACGGGGGTGGGGGAGAATGAGGGGAAAGGTGCTGGTATTAAGAAGCACAAATTGGTAGTTACAGAATACACAAGGGGATGTTAAGAACAGTATCGGAAATGGAGAAGCTAAAGAACTTACATGTGTGACCCATAGACATGAACTATGGGGAGGTGGATTGCTGGAAGGAATGGGGCTACTGGGCGGAGGAGGGCAAAGGGAAACAAACTGGGAAACTCGTAGCATAATCAATAAAGTGTATTTTTAAAAATATTTAATTTTTTATAGATTAACCCTTATATGTTTTTCCCAATGTTTTTGCCTTTATGAGCAATGCTATGGTGAGTGATGTGTTTATATTATTCTGTATATCCATGTAAGTATAGAAATGAGATTGCTGGATCAAATTGTCCTTCAAAGGCATACAGTTTTCACCTCTGTTAGCAACATACTGTATAAGGGAGTCTTCCTATAACCTCACCAAAAGACTGTTTTGTCGAACTTTTTAGTTTTTGCCAATCTGTTAGGTGGAAAATGGTATCTCAGGGTAGTTTTAGTGTATATTTCTCTCTTTTCAATGAGGCTCAGTATCTTTTCATCTCTCCCTATTTTTTAGCCCATTTTTCTACTGGGTTTTAAGTCTTTGCTGATTTCTAAAAGCTTTTTGTACTAGGAGAGAATATGTTTCCAAGTTTGTCATTTGTATTTTGATTATACTTATAATGTGGAAGCAGTTTTTTAATAAAGTTTAAAACTTTTGATTTTGAATTTAACAATTGTTTTATGGTGTTTGGATACTGAGAGTCATATTAAAAAAGGCAAAAAGACATTCCCACTCTAAGGTTATAAAAGAGTGTCCCTTGTTTTCTTTCTTTTTTGATAAGATTTTATTTATTTATTTTTAGAGAGAGGGGAAGGGAGGGAGAAAGAGAGGGAGAGAAACATCAATGTGTGGTTGCCTCTTGTGTATCCCCCACTGGGGACCTGGCCCACAACCCAGGTGTGTGCCCTGACTGGGAATTGAACTAGCAACCCTTTGGTTTGCAGGCCACTGCTCAATCCACTGAGCCACACTAGCCAGGGTCTAGTTATTTTATCTTTTTAGTTGCTATTATAAATGGGGTATATTTTCCATATCTTTAGGGTTTTGCTTGTGTGTGAAAGCTATATTTTATTATATTTTATCTTCTTTATAATTTTTATACCTCTGAGACTTATTTTTGTATTAAATACAATGATGAGAACTTTAATACATTGATAACTAATAGTAGTGAATAGAGAATATGAAGGTTTGAATTTTTTCTCCTACATCTACTAATATGATGTCTTATATTACCATATTGATATACTTCCTAGAATAAAAGCCTCTTGGTCAAACTGTACTATAGGATTCATTGCATTCCTTTATGAAATTGTTTGAGCCTGTAGCTTTTTGTAAAGTGCTCTTTAACAATGTTTTCTCCACCCACCATTCATTCCAATGGAACCTAGGAGATTTTCTGGCTTTTCTGGGATTAATTTCCTAAAAAATTATCTAGCTTTTCAAAAATTTTCAAAGGTAATTGCATGAGAGTTCAGCAAAGTGGTCTCTCCTGATTACTTCATATATCTCAAATTTTGTTGGTGGTTTCCCTTTTTGTTAGATGTGATGCTAAACTTTTTTTTTAAAACACCCCAAGCTGATGAAAAGTCAGTCACACACAAGATTGATTGATTGATTGATTGATTGAGATTATTTATTTATTTATTTATTTTTAGAGAGAGGGGAAGGGAGGGAGAAAGAGAGGGAGAGAAACATCAATGTGTGGTTGTCTCTCACATGGCCCCCGCTGGACACCTGGCCCATAACCCAGGCATGTGCCCCGAATGGGAATCAAAATTGTGACCCTTTGGTTCACAGCCTGCACTCAATCCACTGAGCCACACCAGCCAGGGCTGATGTTAGACTTTTTATCCTTATCTTGATTAAGATTAGCTAGTGGGTTTATTTTTCCCCCAATCACACAATCAGCTTACCTTTACTAACTCTCTTCTTGTACTTTTGTTCGGTGTTAGTATTTTTTTTCTAAACTTGTAAGTAGGCTACGTAATTTACTTGTTTGTATTCTTTTCAACTGACGTAAATATTTAAGGCTGTGACTTTTCTTCTGAAGAGTGGAAAGTATCATGGATTCTGATATGTAGTGTTTTCATTATTCTCTAGGAAGTCTGCAGTTTGAGTTTAGTTTCTCTTTAACATAATTTAACAAAATTATGTATTTTTACACCAGGAAGTCTAGATCAAACAGCAGTTTCACATTAAGACTTTACTTAAAAAAGTATTTTAATGAATAATTAACAAACATTCCTTTCACTCCACTGTTAAAAATGTGAATTAGAGATGATTAAATTGATCCATTACTTAGGGGCATAATTACTGAAAGATGACTAGCTTCAATAAGTTTTTATTTTTGTAATATGTAGTTTTAATTTATTCTAAAAGGTTTCTGTGAGGTTGGATCTTTCCTAAAACATATGGAAGACATGTGAAAACAAACCTTGTCATTTACTAACAGCTACTAAAGACTTTAATACATAATCATTATTGACAACTAAATTCAAATATTGGGATATTCTTGCTGTGGACATTAATTGATATTCCGGACTTTAGTTATGTATTTATGTAAACAAATACTCTATATGGAAGCCATAGTGGCCAGCTTAAGGGCTTTTTATATATTATGGTTTTCTTCATAGACAAGAAATTTCATATGGTCTATATGTGACTTTTTGTCCTGATTAAGGAATACATCATTTTAGGGACAGAGTGGGGGAGATGGGGTAGGGGGTAGGGAGTGAGGAGAGGAAGGCCAATGGAGAAAGAAGGGGAGAGGGGGGAGAAGAGGGAGAAGTTACTTTAAACCTGTAAGAACAGTGAGACTAGGCTGCCTTCCTAAACATAGGAACTTTGACTCTAATTTCAAATTCTCCCTCAAAGAAGAAACTTGTTCGTTTATGCAGTTTAAGGACTGGAAGAAAGCACATATTTAATTTTTAAAACATTCAGTCAATTTATTTTACTGACTAGGGAACTCACATCCAGTGTACTTTGCTGTTTGAAAGTCCTTCTATTATTAAGAGGATGAGGCTGGAGTTAACTGGTACTAAACCAGATTTATTCAAAGGAACACAAAATACTGCTTTGAAAGAATAGATTCTTAATAAGTTCTTATTAACTTTGTGTTATAGAGAATACAAGCTGGCATTCTAAAAGCATTTAACAACCCAACAACTAAAACTGCTGATGATGAAACTAGAAAACAAGTCAAAGGTATGTTGACTCTCTCACTGTTAAGACTTTCTTCTATAAGAAAATATCCAATGGTTCTTCTTAGGGGAAAAGAACTGAGCATTGTGTGAATGAATGCCCTAAAGCAGTTGCCTTAAAATCAAGGTATACTTATTTCAGTGGCTGTGAGATAGTCTAGTGGGTCATAAAAATAAAATGTTAGAACTTATACATATGAATTAAGAAAATAAAACTAATATCAAATATACAGATTTATACTTTTGCTCTTATATGAGGTATTCTAAGGGCAACTTGAAAGGTTACTAAAAGTAGCAGCCTTACTTGGGAGTTCACTTTTATCATATTGTATCATTTTGCAGTTAGGTGTGCTTGGTTGAGTGGACTTTCCAGCTGGACAAAATGCTTAAGTGCTCCAAAGATTCCTGCAATGGAACCATTTATTGAAGAGAGTACTAATAGGTCAAGCGTATATGCCTGTTTTACTCCTAGTGTTAACTCTTCATCAGCCAAAATCTGAGGCAAAAACAGTGACTACCTAATCAAAGCTGATCACTTAAAACATTTAAGTATGGGTTTATATTCCATTGTTATTAGTGATTTACCATGTCCTAAATGTATATTCTGCCTTGAGATATTAACTAATGGTGGTATAAAGTCATTTTGGGGAGACACTCAAAAATATTATTTGTATTTCATTTATTCTCTTTTGTAGCTTGTATTTTGTTGTAGTGCACACTGTAGTGTGCGCTTTTGTTGTATGTGCACATTATATGTCTATAATTTAGAAGCAAATATGCATTGTGATTATATATGCTGAAACCTTATATACAGTTACGGGTTCAAGGTTTTTTAAAATGTAGATTTTCAAGCATGCACTTTTGTTTTGAGATAGTGCCATCTAGTGTGTACTTAGAATAACTGCCCAGTTTTATTTTTCATTTCTTTCCAGTTTTGAAATCATTTTTTTATAGTTAATCCCTTGTGTAATTTTTCTTAATGAAGCATCTTAGTTTACCATAATTTCTCATAGTTATAGTTAATAAATGTTTATTGATATATCCAGGTATACTTGCTCTGTCATTCAGTGCTTCAAATAACATTTTTAAAAGGTAGAAAATACAATGTTTTAGAAGTTAGAGACCCCAAAAGATAGAAGTTCAAAACAGGAGTGAATAGATTGGTAATACATTTTCCCCCACTGTTTTACTGAGGAAAATGTCAAACCTGTATTAAAGTGGAGAGAATAGAATATGAAGCTCCATGTACCATGTACCCATCACCTCACTTACTACATGCAGTTCACGGTGTGTTAGGTTTCATCTGTTTTTTTCCCCCAACCCCAAATTATTTTGAAGCAAATCATAGGCATAACTTCCCTGGATCTACAAATATTTTTCAAAGAAACAGAAAAATTTGACACTTAAGCAGTTACGGATATAAGTGAGTTATTCATTGCCACATTACTTCTTTACGCTGTGCTGTGTCTACTTGTCTCTACTACCCTGTCATTTCCACAGTTGTAGTCCTGGCCTCTGCAGCCCTAAAGGCACACCTCCTTTTCCATCCCTCCACCTCTGGGTTAGGCACAGAAGCTGTGAAGGATTTTTTTTAAAATTTTTTTTAATGAGTGTTTTTTTAAAAGATTTATTTGTTTGTTTGTTTATTTATTTTTAGAGAGGGAAGGGAGGAAGAAAGAGAGAGAGAGAAACATCGATGTGCGGTTGCTGGTGGCCATGGCCTGCAACCCAGGCATGTGCCCTGACTGGGAATCGAACCTGCGACACTTTGGTTCACAGCCCATGCTTAATCCACTGAGCTACGCCAGCCAGGGCGCCGTGAAGGATTTAATGAAAGCAGTTGAGACGTAGTATGAATCACAGCTATTGCTCTACTTATTTTACCTTTTAAGAGCAGTTTGTTATTTCTTGAAAACTACTGTAGTTGGTAGTCACATTTTCTCTGATAGAGTTGTAAAGGAGAAAGATGTAATGTCACATGGTAAAATTCATTATTAAATGTGGTACTGGACATCTGTCTTGGATTTCTTTTGAATCAACAGAAAAAACCATGTTACATTGTAAGGTTGATGGTTGACATGCGTTTTTGTATTAAAAAGTATTATTTTTACAGCATATGGAAGAGAAGGTGTGAAAATGAATTTCATAGATCGGATCTTTATTGGTGAACTGACTAGCACAGTCATGTGTGAAGAATGTGCAAATGTAGGTACTTGGAAGTTCACTTCAACCTGGACTAGCTTACAGTCATGCTGTTTTATTTCTTTCACATATGCTTATCAGCAGTCATGTGTGTTTATTTGTGACAGATGACTACATAATGGTTTTTTAAAATCTTCTTAAAATATATCCTTTATTCCTAGAAAGTAAACATAATTCATAATTTAAAAAATAAATGGTATTTTATTTTTCTTCCTGAGAAACCCATGAAGTTCTCTTAGCTTATTTGAATGTGCTCGAATGTGTTCACTACCTGTTTGGATTGAAATAAAAGGGTCTGTGATGAGGATAACTGTTATGTAACTACAGGGTGGGGCAAAATAGGTTTGTAATTGGTCATATGAAGATAACATAATCATTATAATACAAGAACAAACTCTTTTGAATGCTCACAACTGTAAACTTACTTTTGCCCCACCCTGTGTGCATTGCCCTGAAATGTAATTCTAACAGGAATAATTCAGTGTAGTAACATAACCTAGGGTGATCTAACTTGTTGTTTTTTTTTTTAAATTGACTTGACTCATATTTGAATTTAGTGTTAATTTGATGGGGTGGAATGCTAACAGTTTAAAGATGTATAAGCTTTTATAGGCTTTCTACCACTTGATAAGGAATATTTCTGAAAGCATAAGACTTAGAGTATGATAGGTTTACACTTTCATCAGATTTTATTATGAAAGAGAGTCTTTATGCACATTCTCCTGACCCAGATTACAGAGTGCCTTTCTACCTTCTCTAGCCTCACACACTCAGAATTGTGTATTATATCTCCTTCTAGCCTGTCATGTGGGAGCACAGACTGTCAATGAGATATTTCTTCAATTTGTAGTATATTTGACATAGATATTGATTTCTCTCTCACAAGCTAGAGAGCATCTTTTAAAACAGAATTATCCTACAGAGTCTACAAAACATAGTCAAACTTTCTGCCTTTTTTCATGGCTTTTTTATAGTTTATTTATGTTATGGTACTAATTCCACCCCAAATATGTTTCTGTCTTCATTTAATCATTATTATTAAACATAGTTTATTTTGAAGTTACTTTAAATATTACTGACATTGTGATATTGACAACATTATAAAATTCAACAGGGTTGCATTTCTTGAAGTTTTGGGATATCTTGTTTTGATTATATATGTGCTATTATACCCCATTAAATGGCTATTGGTGCCAGGAAAATTTTTTTAACTTAAAATTTTAAGTGGCCTGGGAAGTCTGATTTGTTTAAGCCTTTATAAAACCACATTGTCTATGTTAGAACTCTACCTGAAGTTCTCAATATGTTTTCTTTTTAAGGTTTCCATGGTGAAAGATCCTTTTATTGATATTTCACTTCCTATAATAGAAGAAAGGGTAAGGAGAAAAAAACTTAATAAGACTTTTGTGAAGGGCATTTATTTATTCATATACTTAGACATTTGTTGAGTATATTATCAGATATCTGAGTCATTTTTTATATACATTAGTTGAGTTTGTACGGTATAATATTGGGGTTAGCATATGTATGCATAAAGTATGATAAAGTTATTCTCAAGGAATTTAAATCCTTATGCTTTATATCTTGAGAATTAATGTTAGGAAAATTATATTTCAAATGAGAAATTTTAAAAAGTAGGTTATATCCAGAATTTATTTCCTAAAGTTTTGTGTTATGTACATGGCATCCATATAGGTTTCAAAACCTGTACTTTTGGGAAGAATGAGTAAATATAGAAGTTTACAGAAGACAGATAATGGTCAGTACAGTGGTATTATTACTATAGGAAATATTCATCAGTGTAGCACTACCAGGAAGCATTCTTCATCTAAAGATAATGTAAGATTATATGTATTTGTGAGATATGTATAAGATTATATGTATTTGTATATGTATATAATATGTATTATATGTATATGTATTTTGCTTTTTAAAACTTTTCATTATGAAAAATTTCAAAACTATACAGAAGTAGATGAAATAGTACAATAAACTCCCATATACCTGTTTCTCAGCTTCATAGTTATCAGCTCTCGGCTGATCAATCCTGTTTTAACCTACATCTCACATTCTCCCTCTCCACACCCCAGATTATTTTGGAATAAATTCCAAGTACATCATATACTTTGATGTGTATCTCTAAAATATGCTCCTTAATTTTTTTAAATAATCCTCACCCATGGACACATTTTATTTATTTTTGTTTTAGAGAGAGAGGAAGGGGGTGGGAAGGGAGAGAGAAACATGGGTGTGAGAGAGATACATCCATTGGTTGCCTCCTGTATGCACCTGGCTGGGGATCCGTGTACAAGATGACACTCCAACCAACTGAACCACCTGGCCAGGGTAAAAAGATAAATACTCATTTAAAATACATAACTACAGTACCATTATCATACCTAAAAATATTATTAACTTTGTAATTGTGCCAATATTCAGTCATTATTTACATTTATACAGTTGTCTCATAAATACTTGCTTTTTGTTTTTGCTTCTTAAAGTGTATTTGAATTCATTATCTAAAAAAGAGCTATAGAATGTAGTTGATTGCCATGTCTCTTAAATCTCTTTTAACCTCCCCCTCCACCCCTGCTTTTTTCCTTTGCAATTTATTTGTTGAAGAAATCAGGTCTTTTTTTTTCAAATCAGTTTCTCACATTCTCACTTCCACAGTAATTCATTTTGCTGTTGCATTCACATGTTAACAGGTGCCTGTTTATCCCCTTGGTTTTGTCTGCAAGGCAGTCAGATAGAGAGGCCCAACTGGGTTCAGGTTTGATGATTTAATTTTTGACGAGAAAACTTTTAAGTGGCAGTGTATGCTTCTATCGAGGAGGTGCATGCCACGTTCGATGTCTCTTTCTGTGATGTCACCAGCCATTGATGTCTGTCGTATGTGCTCATTATTATTGTTCACTAGGGACATACCTGGTTGTTGAATTATCCCATATGAATTTAAAGAAATAAAATTGAATTTTCACTTTATTAAAAAACTTTTTTAGATACTATTATTTGTACTTACTTGGCAAATTGATATATGACCAGATCTAATTTACTATGTAGAAGGTTTTTTAAGTGGCAAGACTACAGAGATTATGCAAAGATTTGCACTTGAAATGCCTCCCTCACAGCTCTGTTCCACAAAAGTTCTGTTCTCCTCTCTGCAAATGGGTAACAACTGTTGTTGGTTTCTTGTGTAAAGGTTTATTTTTAAGTTAGTACTATTTGTTATATATCTTCTACTGGTTGTAGTTTATGTAGATTTAGGAAGTGGGTTTTAGAAGCACTAAAAATAGTATTTATTTAATAATTATAGAACATTTAAGTAAGACTTACTGGCATTTATTTTCAGTAAGTCCATAAGATTCTTTTCTCTAAAAACACTGTCAACTTACAGCATCAACTAATTCATGGCAGAAAACGTACAAGGAAATTGCCATCTGGAGAAGATAAAGCTGTTGTCATATACCGGAAAAACAGAAACTCTGAAGTGAACAGGGATTCTTCAGTGTTCGTGAGCATCATGAACACTGGGTCACCTCTGACTGAAAACCCTACTGACGGCAGTACAAAAGAAGCCAGCAATTCTGAAAGTAGTGTCGATGCTGACAGTGAGGCTTCGGAATCTGAAAGTGCTTCTAAGAAGACCCTGTTGCCAAGATCCAGTAGTGGCTGCTGGGTGCATACAAATGGGCATCACCATCCCTCAGTGTGCGAGACACCCCGCAAGGAGACCAACAGTGGTGATGAGGATGTGGCTGATGCTATTTCTGAACTTCATTTAAGCAGCACTGTAACTGGAGATAGAGATTTTGATGAGGAAAATCAGCCACTAAGTCTTGCAAATAATTTATATTTTTCAGAGGGGAGGCATATGATGTCTTCCAGCCCCCAAAATGCTTTTCAGACCCTTTCTCAGAGCTATGTAACTACTTCTAAAGAATGTTCAGTTCAGTCTTGTCTCTACCAGTTTACATCTTTGGAATTATTAATGGGGAATAACAAGCTTCTATGTGAGAACTGTACTGAAAAGAAACAGAAGTGCCAAAGGGAAACCAGTTCTGCAGGTAAGTATTTAGCTATTTTTTGTCTTCATGGATTATCTGATAATGACTAGTTGGCATTAGATCCCAAAGAGAAGAAGCTAAGCATCTTGTCTCTAAACTTGAGCTGCTTAGAGGTGGGGATTGCCTTCTTTGTATACCTGTTTGTGTAACTCAGCACTGAAGACACTGACTAGGCAAAATAAATGGTCAATAGAATTTTGTTGAAATTAATTGGAGAACAGGAAGTATCCATCTGTGCCCTGAAAATGCAAATCCACATAATTTTATCTCAGGGAACCAGCTATCTCAGATATTCTCAGAAGAAATTTTCCTAAAACTTAAAATGTTATCATTAGTGAGATTAATGATGAGATTAATGTGCTTCACAAATCTCATCAATCTAGTATTAAGTCATAATAAGATATACATTTGAAAGTTTTAAATAATTGTATATTATCAAGCTAGCAACATAATAAGTATGTATAATTGACTAGAAAAAATGGAAAAAAGGGGACTTGTCAAGTAGGAAATTTTCAGTGCACCTCTAGCCTTGATTAAATGGAGAGAATACTCAGATTCCTAGTGACTAGTTTTTCAAAATACAGATTTTATTATCATTCAGGGATGGTGAGGCCAACAGATCGGGGTACAGCTGCCACTGAAGATAGTTTGTTACTTATAGTTCCCAAAAAGAGGGGCATGTGGGGAGGCACCAGGGTTGATCAGGGGCAGAGGCAACCATGGGAGAAACTAGGACAAGAACCTTTACTGTGGTTTCCAAGGGAAGGGCTGGGCAAGGCAGGGCAAACAGGTTTCAGACTGACTAGTTTTGAATCATTTCAATGGCCTCTGGGCTATAGGGGCTGCCTGGTACCATGATTAACATGTGATTAGAGCAGGTGGGTAGTGGCCTAGAGTTTAAGACCTCAATAAAGAAGGTAGATGGGATATGGGTTTTGGATTGGTTGGTTTGCCTATGAAAGATGCGCTTAAGTTGTCAAAGCATCAGGACAAAGACATGATTAATAAACAAGTGATTAAGGAAGTGTCTAAATCAGAGGAGAAATACCAGTTTATATTAATCCAAGTTAAATATGTAATTGGTCACATTCAAATCCTATCATGTCCTTTCTAACAACCTCTTCCTGAAATCCTCCATGGTTTTCATGATACAAGCTCTCCCTTTACTGCAATAAATACTGAGCCAGTATCATCAACTACAGGTGTGTTCCTGGTGGTCTTTGGGTAGAGGGCATTGTCCTAAGTCACTACTAGTCCATCTCCTTTCTGGCTTCCAAAGTTGTGTAGCAAGTGTCACTGCACCAATCCTTTGTGTGTGTGTGTGTGTGTGTGTGTGCACCTTAAAAGAAATCTTTTAGTTTAATGGTTTTGTAAAGAATAGAGGTACCCTGTAACCAGAAGTCTAATTTCTTTTTTAAAAAATGTTTTATTTATTTATTTTTAGAGAGAGGGGAACAAGAAAGAGAGGGAGAGAAACAACAATGTGTGGTTGCCTCTAGCACGCCTCCTACTGGGGACCTGGTCCTCAACCCAGGCATGTGACCTGATTGGGAATCCAACCCATGACCCTTTGGTTCATAGGCCCACTCCCAATTCGCTGAGCTACATCAGCCAGGGCCAATTTCTTTTTTATTTCCTTTTTTATAAAATCTAGTTTATTGAATTTGCACATAATAGAATTCATATATAGTATATAATTTGTATTCTATAATATTCATGTGTACAGTTTGATAAGTTTTGATAACATATACAGTCCTGTAACTACCATCAAGATATAGAACATTTCCATTGCTCCAAAATGTTTCCTTGTGCCCCTTTGCAGTTAATCCCCTCTCCCATCGCCTAGTCCCTGCATTTACTAATCTGATTCTCTTCCCTATAGTTTTGTCTTCTCCAGCATATCATGTAAATGGAATCATATAATACATAGTCTTTTGTCTCTGGCTTCTTTGACACTTAGCATAATGTCTTCGGGTTCACTCATACTGTTACATATATCAATAGTTCATTCTAATTTCTTTTTTAATATTATAAAAATGTGACATGGTGCTTCTATATAAATGTTGACTATATTATATGGTAGATAAAATGTAACCTTACAAATAAATTCATTACATTTTATGCAGAAAAGAAAGCAGAGGGGATTTACACTAATGCCAGGAAGCAGTTGCTCATTTCTTCTGTTCCAGTTATCCTAATACTCCATCTTAAAAGATTCCATCAGGTAAAGGTCCCTTTAGTAACACTATTGTAGTTTTCATCAGATGTTTTGTAGAGCCCTAAGTCTTATAAAATACTGTCAAAGATTAGGCACTAATTTACTGAATTTAAAAATTTGTCATATGGAATTTACTACTTTTCAGCCATAATAGTTTACAAGACTTTTCTAGTTAAAATCATTTCATTCACAGTGTTTGAAGATTTGGATGGTAGGAACCCAAGGGGTGGGTGTTTGTTAGTGTGTGTCAATGGGAAATAAGAATTCTTAAGAACGCTTAACAAAAATAAAAGAATGCTTAGCAGTAGGGGAATAGCAAAGTGCACGTAGCTTTCTGGGCTCTCAGGATCCCAGCAGGGGCCTGTGAGGGCTGGGTGTGGTCGGCTCCGACTTGGTAGGAAAAGGACTGCAGGGCAGGCACCTCCCCTGTAGGACTCTGCAGTGGGAGGGGACTGAAATATTTGAAACACATCAGGTTTTTCTCTAATTTTTTTATATTTTTAATTCAGTGCATTATCTCACCTTTTTTACTTTGCATTTGATAAATTATTTTAACATTTCTCTGGAAGAATGAATAATTGAAAATATTAAAACATTTTTGCAAAAGTTATAAGGGAAATTTTTAGAATACCTGTTTTAAAATAAAACTATAATCAGTAAAACAGTGTGGTCAGAACTGTCAAATAACAGGAACAAATTTAAAGGACACATGGACAAAAACTAGGGGGAGGGTGGTAATGGGAGGGAAGTGGGGAGGGTTGGGTGGGTGGGCTGGAATGGGAGTAAAAGGGAGAAAACTGTACTTGAACAATGATTAAAATAAAAAAATAAAAAAGAACTGTCAAATAAAACATGAAGTATAATTTAAAGCTCTTTTGTTATGATAATGAAGTCATCTGAAATCAGTTGGGAAGGGGGCTGTATTATTCAATAAAGGACTTAGGGAAGAAAAATAACGGAGGAAATGAAAGTTTATAGCTACCCTCTGTACTATACCCCAATACTATTTTCAGATAAACTGTTTTAATTCTATGAAGCAAATTGTCAAAAACATACAAAGGCAACTAATCAATTTCTCTCTCACATCAATGTTTCTCTCCCTCTCCCCCTTACCCACTCTCTCTAAAATCAATAAGCATGTCTTCGGATGCAGATAAAAATAATAAAACTAAATAAAAATATATACTTAAAATTAATTCAAAAAAGAAAAGATAAAGAGATTTGTCTTCTATAAAAGCCCTTTACAAAGCCTCTCCTATTGTGGGGTAGTTTCTGAACCACTAAGTAATATCTGGGGAGAGGACACATCAGCCTGCGAGGTTCTCAGACAGTGCTGGTGTTGGGTGCTTATAGAGATCACCTGATGAGAAAAACAAGGAAAGCAAATTGAATACAGACTAAATAATTACCCCTAAGGTATGACCTCATAATTTCATGTCAGATATTATGTTAGGCCCTCTAAACATCACTTGAAGAAACAAATAAGTGGGTATATTTTGGTCAAAAATAAGCTTTTTTTTTTTCTTTAAAGAAAGGTAAGAACAAGGCAACAGATTCACATTAAAATTATGTCCTTGAAGTAAGTCGTGAAAGCTTTGCATGAAAGGTTACATCTATTAGTTTTTGTCTACTCAAATATTTCAGATTAAGGATCTTCTGATTCCAGTGGAGTTTCTATTTGTGGGTTTCCTACTCAATACATTTGGCAGTCTATCAGCTGGTTTTTAACTATTATTAAATAATGCAAAGTGTACATTTTTCAAGTTCTGCCCTTGGAAATTAAAAATAGAGAAAGAAGTAGAGCTTATTTAAGAATATGAAGGTTCATTTTTTAAAAAAGATTTTATTAATTTACTTTTGGAGGGAGGGGAAGGGAGGAAGGAAGGAAGCAAGGAAGCAAGGAAGGAAGGAAGGAAGGAGAAAGGAAGAAACATTGATATGCAAGAGAAACATCAATCAGTTGCCTCTTGCATGCCCCAGACCACCGGGGACCTGGCCCACCACCCAGGCATGTGTCCTGACCAGGAATTGAACCAGTGACCTTTCAGTTTGTGGGACAACACCCAACCCACTGAGCCATACCAGTCAGGACAAGGTTCATTTTTATTTATTTTTCGGACTATGAGACAACCCACCGCCCCCCAATTTGGGAGGAAAATGCAGCAGTGACCCTGCTCCTGTCTCCTATGACCCTGCTCCACCGCCCCCCTGCCCCCCACAGCAAGCCAGGTAAGCTACATCCAGATTATAAGAGGTACCCCATTTCCTCCCAAATTTGGGGGGAGTGCGTCTTGTAGTCCAAAAAATACAGTATATAATATATAATATTTACTTTTATTGATAAAATTATTTGAGTATTCAAATTCTGGCTTTTTGTTTTAATAAATAAATATTACTGAATTTTAGAGCTGAGAAGGATCTAATCTAATCCATTTATACCCATTTTCTTCCTTGATCTAGATGAGGTGCTATGTAGGCAATGGGTGTTGACCAGTCATCGAGTCAGGCCTAGGCCACCAGGCCCTGACTTCAGTTGAATATCTTTTTATGGTGGCATATGTATCAGCAACTTAGCTTTTACTACATTGAATTTATTTTTCCCTAAGTGTTGAAAACCACAGTGAAAGTCATTATTCCCATATTGTTTGTGGTAAAAATGCACATGTAAATAAATGATATTTGCTGAAACAGTTTATGGAACCTAATTAAAAACTTAGTCATATACCAGTTTTGGATTATTCATTAATCATGTTTTTATATCTATGAAAAAACCTAACTTCTAGGATTCATCTTTTAGTTTTAATTAACAAACAATGATTTAGATTGGGTTTGTTGGATTAAAATTTTTTTTTGGTCTTTCTTAGGCTGGATTGAGTCTTCGAAAGGTAAACAGACATGTAGATTTTCCACTGATACTTGATTTAGCACCATTCTGTTCTGCTACTTGTAAGGTATAGTATATTATCAAAATACTCAGTTGACTTGCAAATAATATACTTGCAGTACTCTATGATTGTTTGTTATGCCATGCTTTTCTTTGTGTAAAAAATAAGCTCCTCTGAATAGGAATTTTATAGTTAGTGAAGGGAAATCAGTAAAATGTGGAACATGTAACACACTGAGTACGACTTTTGTCTTTTGGGAGATAGATTAAGGGAAAGTCAAAAAAGATGCATAAAGCATGAGACCTAAGGGTCATGAAGATTAAAGCCACTTGTAAATACTGCTAGAAGCAGACCACTGCTGGGAAAAGTAAGCAGATTTTGTGTCCTCTTCTGCTCCTTGTGGACAATATGCTTACATGGCAGTAGTTTTCGCATTTGTGGAGTTATCTTTTGCAAATCAGTAAACTAATACATTGTTTTTTCATGCCATTTCAGGTACACTGTTGAGAATAGTGTACTTGTCAGATGAGTATGGTACTTTGAAATTATTAAAACTTTAAAAATTAGATATAGAAAGCAGACTGGAGCAATATAGAAAGCAATTATAAAAATTGCTTGTACTTACATATTGGAACTGTGCCGGTGAAATAGATGATTTTGACTTCCTCGAGGGAACCAAACAGTTCTAGGCAACACCTTGTCCTGTTCATGATTGCTGATTAGCAGTCCAGGCATTGTGGCATGTAGGAGAATGCTTACTGAATTTAATATTTTTAATATAGTGATCAATCAAAACAAAAATATCTTAAACGCAATTTTTTGGTGAATCTAGTTCATGTGTGGAATACAGCACTATCTGTCAATTATTAACATTAAGGTTCACAGAATTTGATAGGATGGTAAATAATATGAAACTTAACAAGTTCTATATTAAATTTATGAAAAATGGTTTAAAAGTACCTATTTTAGAGAATTTCCAACATGCACAAAAGTACACAGAACTGTACAATGAACCTCCAGCACCCACCACCTGGCCCTAAAACCTTAGATACATGGCCAGTCCTGCCCCATCCACATGCTCGTGTACCTACTCCTCCTATATTATTACTATTACTATCACTATCACTGTCATTGTCACCATCACTATCACTGTCACTGTCACTGTTTCAGTCCTCACCAGAGGATATGTTTATTGATCTTAGAAGAAGGGAGAAACAGGGATGTGAGAAAGAAATATCAGTCAGTTGCCTTCCTGTAGAAGCCCCCAACTCGGGGTCAAATGTGCAACCTAGGTATGTGTCCTGACCAGGAATCAAACCCGTAACCTTTTGGTGTACAAGGATGACGCTCCAACCAGCTGAGCCACCCTGCCAAAGCTGAAGCATCATTTTATTCATAATATTTCACTATGAATTTCTAAAAGATAAGAATCACTCCTCACATTTTTATATAACCACAATACTACTCTCACACTAAAACAAATAGACAATTTAAATATCATATCATTTAGTGTATTTATTTCTAATTATATCATAAATGAATTTGTATCCAAAGAAGAACTACACATTGTAATTGGATAATGTCTTTTACTCTCTTTTATTATACAGTTACCCTCTCCCTTCTCTCTCCCCTTCAATTCCCTCCTCACAAATTATTTGTTGAAGAAACTGGGCCATCTTTACAGTAGTTTCTCCTAATTTAGATTTTGATGATTATTCCTCTGTCCTCTTTATTTACTATAAATAGGTAGCTGGATAGTTGGATGTGGAAAGGCTTAAACAGATTTAGGTTTGATGTTCCTTATTTATCTTATAATTTTTTTTCTGGCAAGGCTATTTCATAGGAAGTGTTTAGTCAGGTGGCACAGAATGCCAGTTATCTTTTTATAATAGCAACCAATGATGCAATGTTATATTCAGGAGTTCATTAAGAATTACAGAATGGTGATATTCTAATTCTGTCATTCCTTCTTAATTTGTTAGCTAGAAAACTAGTATATAAAGAGATACTCTTTTCATCTGTTTAGTTATCTTATGGTATAGTTCCTACTGAAGAGAGAGGATAGCCCTGGCTGGTGTGGCTCAGTGGATTGAGTGCTGGCCTGTGAACCAAAAGGTTGCCAGGTCGATTCCCAGTTTGGGCACGTGCCTGGGTTGTGGGCCAGGTACGCAGTTGGGGGCATGCAAGAGACAACCAATCAATGTATCTCTTCCACATTGATGTTTCTCTCCCTCTCTTCCTCCCTTCCCCCATCTAAAAAAAAATTAATAAATAGCCCTGGCTGGCGTAGCTCAATAGATTGAGCTTGGGCTGCGAACCAAAGCATCACAGGTTCGATTCCCAGTCAGGGCCCATGCCTGGGTTGCGGGCCACGTGAGAGGCAACCACACATTAATATTTCTCTCTGTCTCTCTCTCTTTCTCCCTCCCTTCCCCCCTCTAAAAATAAATAAATAAATCTTTAAAAAAAGAAATATGCCCTGCTGGCATAGCTCAGTGGATTGAGCGTGGGCTGCGAACTAAAGTGTCACAGGTTCGATTCCCAGCCAGGGTACATGCCTGGGTTGCAGGCTATAACCCCCAGCAACTGCACATTGATGTTTCTCTCTCTCTATCTTCCTCTCTTCCCACTCTGAAAATAAATAAAGAAAATCTTAAAAAATATATATTAAACATTTTAAAATTAATAAATAGAAATAAACAAACAAATAAATAAATAAATAAAATTGAAAGAAAGAAAAGAGAGGGTAAATGCTCAATTCTTTTCCTACCCTCCCTTTAAACCAGTTTGCAGAATAATGAATTGGTTCACTAGCATCCTTGAACTGTGACTAATTAATTTATGATTATGAATTCATGGATTTAAACACATTACATATGTTTCAATTTACTACGCTCTTCTTTTTATTCACACACTGGTATATTTGTCTGATGGATCTATATTGTTGGCTACTGAAAGCCACTTAGGTTGGCTTCTGGGTTTTTTTTACCTGACTGACCTCTCTGAATGATTATGCCACCAATTGGACATATTCTTCAGTTGCTTAATTTTTTAATCTTTATTTTAGGGACTGTTTTTTAAATTTAAATTATTCAAATTTTGTTTAATAATTGTGTAAGTATTTACAAAGTTCCAAAGTCAAATGTATCAAATGTACAAAGCAAGTTTAATTCAAACAAGTGTAGCTTTTCTCCATGTTTGTTCACCCATTTCTTCCCTCCTTTTATAGATAAACATTGTTAAAAAAAATCATGGTTTATTCGTCTACTAGTTTTTTAAAAAATATAAACAGATAGGTATGTATATGGATATCCCCTCTTAAATAATCATAGCTTACAATATGTATCTTTTCTTCTTACCCTTTTCTTACCATTATATCCCCTGAAGATTATTCCAAAGCAGTATCTAGAGATAGCCTGCACTCCATTTTTCAAGCAGTATGATACTCTGTTGTATGGATGCATCACAGTTTATTCAACTAGTCTTCAATTTATGGACATTTGAGCCTATTCTAATTTTTTGATAGTATAAACAATTGTGCAATTAGTAGTGTGGTGCATATCTTTTTTCATTTTGCTAATGTACCTATGAGATAGAATCCTAGAAATAGTATTGATAAGTCTAAGAGTAATACATATATAATTTAGCTTGATAACATTAAATATTCCAGCATAGAGAATGCACCCCTTTTGCAATTTGTACCCCTTTGCATTCCCACCCATGGTGTGTGTGAATGCCTTTTTCCCACAGCCTATTAACAGAGGATGTTGTCAAGCATTTGCATTTTTCTAGGCTAATTAATATGTATGGAAAATTTTTAATAAGTTATTCTCTTATGTTAAGTAGAATGTGCATTTGACTTAATTTTCCTTACAATAATATTTCACTATGTATTACTTTTTTGTCTAAAGAATGTACATGTGGGAGAGGAAGTTCTCTATGGTCTGTATGGCATAGTGGAACATAGTGGCTCAATGAGAGGAGGTCACTACACTGCGTACGTGAAAGTGAGAACACCCTCCAGGAAATTATGGGAACATGTCACTGGAAAGAAAAGTGTACCTGGTATGTTATCCTAAGTTTATTTTATTCTTAAAAAACAAATGAATTTATTCTTCCTTTTCTGTTAGAGGTAAGCTATTTCGTGGATAACTGAAGTGCATTCACTTTGTTTATGTTAAGTGAATAATATGTTTAAGAGTACTAGATAATCTTAAACAATCTTAAATATAAGACTGTAGCCTGGTAGGTGACGTGAAGTGACACAGTTTTTCAGGGTGTTAAGTCATGTGTGGCAGTGCCAGTGGTATTTTATTTAACAAAAGTTTTTAAAGACATATCAGAAGCACTGGCTGGTGTAGCTCAATGGATTGAGCACAGGCCTTTGAACCAAAGCATTGCTGGTTTGATTCCCAGTTGGGGCACATACCTGGGTTGCAGGCCATGTCCCCAGTAGTGGGTGTGCAAGAGGCAACTACCCATTGATGTTTCATTTCCCTTCTTTCTCCCTCTCTTCCCCTCTCTGTAAAAATAAATAAATAAAATCTCTTAAAAAAAGACATATCAGGACCTCAGAATAGAGTTGAAATTGAAAGTTTGCTGACTTTGCTTACGGATCTGCAAACTAACTTTGTTTTTTGTTCTGTTTTAGTGAAAATGATTTTCCTCAAACAATACATTATTCACAAGGCTATCTAATATTTCACTAGACTTTTAAAGTAAAATGATAGTAATGTCAATGGTTTGAAAGTTAGTTCTTTTTAGAAGAAACAGGAAGAAACAGACTTATGTGGTAAGATTTAGCATTAGATAAATATAGTTTGTGGTGAATATGTTGTTGCTTATAACGCAGAGTAAGAACATAACTTATTGTAAAATGATGCTTTTGTTTTGTTTTGTTTTTTTAGGTTTGAAAGAACCGGATAGTGAATTGGCAGGCCAGTGGGTCCATGTCAGTGACACTTATGTGCAGGTGGTTCCAGAATCAAGAGCACTTAGTGCACAAGCATATCTTCTTTTTTATGAAAGAATATTTTAATTATTTGTTCATTGTTAAGGGTGATGATTATTTAGATCACTTTTATTTAAATGCTGCAATGATAACCATAATACGCAATGTGCCTTTGTAGTCTCTTCTCTTCTGTAGGAGTAGTATGTCCCTCAAATGCTCCTGAACATTTTTACCTTTTTGGTGAATCCGCTTAAAGTAAATTAAATTTAGTCAATGCTTCCAAATATATATTTTTAAAATAAATGTAAACACATGTTTAAAAAATTGTGTGTCTTGGAACAAAAGTAGAATTTCCAGTAGTAGAGGAAATGCCTTTATGATGTAGATTATTATTATAAGCATTCAGAAATGATGTTGGCTAAGTCAGATCCTTCCTTAAACAGTGTTACCCAGATGTGAGTCACATGCCACCTTTCTGATATATATGTATTTACCATGCCATTATTTACTTAAAATTTTTTACCTTATTTTTAGCTTTACTTTTTTTAACCATAGCCCTATTTTGAGCATATTCCACATTTTATGTGCTAGTTGTGTTTTTTATAATAAACCTTAAAGTAATATGTAACTATTAAAGAAAAATTGTTCATTCATGTAGTAGTTCACTTAAAATCATCTCAGGACTATCCGGTGGTATATGTATGCTGTTGCATGGGTAACATTGTTATCACATGTCCTTGCACAACTGACATGGTGACTTTGTCTTATTTTGTATAATTCAGCCATATAAAAAGGTATCAATATAACTTCAGTCATATGGATTTACAAATAATATATTGATTAGCTTAGCTTTGAAGTTTTGAGACATAGGAAAATACATGTAACCTATTCATGGTAGAGTTGAGGATAATTTGCAAATAATTAGCCAAGGTCAAACTATAATTATAGATAATTCTAACATGCAGAATTGATAAGTAGAAGTTGTTAATCCATATGAAACCATAGGATAACTTTGAAATATAAATTACCAAATTTGTCAATGATAGACAATTGTATTCTTCTTATATTTAACAAAGAAGTCTAATACATTTTTAGTGCTATAAATCAGTAAGTATTAACCATGGTTTTAGGGTTTTGCAACCCCTTGGTATTCAACAAGCATCATTAATAAGTTCAAGTGAGTTTAGCTTTTATTTTAATGGGGCATGAAGTTGGCATTTGTGATTTTCTTTTTAAATAAGTTATTGCAAAGGTATGATGGTTTAAAAAAAGATATGATGGTTTTTCCTCTAGAATACAAATTATTAAGCTGTTAAAGCTTGGCAGGAAAACATTACTATTACTTGGGCTTAAATTTTAAAAATAATTGCTACCTTGGTATCACTTTACTGAATCAAAGCATCCTAATCATTAATACCAGTGAAGATACTACATACAGGCAGGTGCTGGGTTAAGTACTTAGTTCTAGTTAACTCTTCACTTGGGAAGGAAGGATATGAATAGAGGCTGGAGATAATTGCGAAAATATTTAACCAAGACTCTGGTTATACATTACATTATCAAGGTTACTAGTGCTGCCTTTTGATACATGGATGAATGGAATTGTGATTATTGTTAAAGATGGTAATAATATACAAAATGAACAACTGAAAAGTATCATGGCACAAATTCTATTTTTAAGCTGTTGCAATTTCAATAGTAGTAATTTTCTTGATTTTTAACAGTGAGATGATGGAGAAATATAGATTAATCTGCAAACTCAGGTTGTTTGTCCTATAAAAGGTGGTTTAAACAGTGTTTAAATTAGTGTCTATGTTTAATTGTAATTCATTAACATTGAAGATTTCAGTTCCAGAGTAGTGAATTTTTTTTTTTTGAGAAATACTAAATGTCTTTATTCAAGTCAGACATCTTGGTAACAACAGTTACCATTCACTACCCCAAATGTAAATATTGTAACCTCATTTTTCTCCTAGAAAGGACACTATTAAGAGGCATGCATTTTTCATTGGATGGTCACCTCCTTCTTCTATCATTGATAGTAGAAAGAGAAAGAGGGAAGTAGAGAGGAAGAGAGAAAGGAAGGGAAACAAGAGCATTCTTTTCTGTTGCCTTTTGGCTTGTCCCTTACACAACTAAAGTCAGAGATGGTAAGTGATAAGTAAGGGCCAGAATCAATGAAAGTTCCTAGTTCCTCATTTTACTGACTGGATGCCAGGAAATGCACCAGTGCTGTGCTCATCAAACAGGAGATATTTAAAGCTTTATTCTGAGTGCCAGTCAAACTGCTTTTTCATTAAGTGAGTGATATATTGTCGCTTCAGAACATTACATCCGTACTGAAGTACTGCAGTAGTTTTTATGCTGTAACTTCACATTTACTCATTATGTATATCTGCTGTCGGACAGGCACTGTGCTGACATTATTTTAACACATTTTAAAATGGAGAGGCTTATGTAAGTGTTAGACATTACCCCATGAGTAACATACAAATAAAAATACTTTTTCATTTCCAAAATGTTAAATGAGATAATTCTAAAATCTTTTTTTTATGGCCTAGGATTTATGAATGCTTTTCCAGCTTTGTTGATAATGTAATAAATTTTTTTTTGAAACCTAAGAATTTTCTAATGATAGCTTTGTAAACGGAAAAAGTATGTTAAGTTACACATGGATCTGCATTTAAATTTTTGTTTGTATTTTGAATATTTCAAAGCACATTTGCAGGGGTACAAAATGGTGGAGCTACTATAATAACTGTAGTTTCCAGATAACCTCAGGAAACAGTACAAATAAGTGAGAATGTTTACAGATCCTCAAAACACTGACCATAATGTTTGGCCAAGTGAATTTAAAAAGTAAAGCAGAGGAGTTTCACTAGCTTTATTTCAAAACTGGATTAGAAAGTATGTCTAATCCCAGTTTCCCCTAGTTTTTCCATATTTAAAATGATAAAATTTTGATTATGTGCCAATTATGTAAATATTTTTGACATACTCAAGTATATGTCTATATTTACAATTTTGTCATTTAATGTTTTTAAACTTGATGTGAAGACCACATTTTTGGGTGGCCAAGGAGAGTGTTAGTTTGGTGTTGGTTCTCAGAGCAGTTATTTGATACCTGTTTTTTTATTTTAAATGTGCCAACAGAGCTATTTTGCAATATAATATTTAATAGCTCTTTGCTTGCATGTGATTTTACTCAGTGATTTTATACAATAGTTCAATAAAATTCCTTGAAGATTAAGTTGTGAAATATATCACCTTCTTCTAATTTTTGTAGTATATAATAACATGCTGCCTAGTTTTCTTAGATTTATATTCATAATTTATTTATCTGCATGTTACATGATAAATAAGCTTAAACCAAATATGTGCAGTAAAATTGAGCATTTATATATTACATAATGCATAGAGAAAGACTATATTTAGATATTTAAAATGTTTTGTTTATGTAAAATTCATCGATTCAAATCTGTTTAAAAGACAACTATATTTTTAATTTTGAGTAACATTGGATAATACATCATTCCTACTGTTTTATCTTTATTTTTTTTGTCAGTGTTTTTAGAAAATAGCTAATTAACTTATTGAGCATTATTTCAATATTCCTGTATAAACATGCATAATAAATATTAAATTCTCATTTACTTTGTTTTAAGATTGGTCCTGGAGTTTTTTTAGTGCACATTATTGACAGAATATTTTATCTATCAATGTTGTATTTACTTACTTAGCTATATTCCAAATATTCTTTATATTTTAGAACTACAGTGTTTTAGAATTAAATATCTTATAATGGGCCACTTTTACTCATATTTCAGTATGTACCATCGGTAGGTCTTCATCCTTTCATATGTTTCTCAAAATGTTTGAGTATTTAGTCAGAATAGTTCATTAGGTAATGTTTTGTCTGTGTATTTGTGTTTAACCTTTTTTGGCTCATGTTTGAGATTATGATGAAAGTTATAGCCTATCTTCAATTTGTTCAATAATTTAGTAAGTATTTATTGAATACCTGCTGTGTGACATGCATTTGGGATATAGAACTAAACACCGGAAACAGAACTCTCTCCAAGAAATAAGGAAATAAGCATTCCAAGAAGTGAAAAGTAAGGACCCCTGGCTGGGTGTCTCAGCTGGCTGGAGCACTGTTCTGTAAACCAAAAGGTTGTGGGTTTGATTCCTGGTCAGGGCACATGCCTAGGTTGCAGATTCAGTCTGCAGTTGGGATATGTACCAGAGGCAACTGATCAATGTTTCTCTCTCTCTCTCTCTCTCTCTCTCTCTCTCTCTCTCTCTCAATTAACTTCAAAAGATTTTTAAAAAGAGAAGAGTGAGGAAAAGGTGATCAAATGGCAAATGATGTGGAGGAAAGTCAAGCAACATTACCCACAGAGCCATATGGGAGTTAAGGTCCTACTAGTCCCAAAGGGAAGCTATCAGTTTTGGGGGAAGAGGAGGGTTTTAATTTTCAGGCCTTCTCCTGCTAATGGCAGTATAGAAGATGGGAATGAAAATTCTCAGAAAAACCTATGCACCAGATTTTTGTATGTAATTTCAGAGGTTCATGAATCCCCTGAAGACCATTTTCATATAATTTTAAAGTTGCACTCAAGCAGCAATATCCAAAATGTTTGCATTCCTGTTTGTATATAGATAAAGCTATGACACAGGAGCAAATAACTCCACATCCCAGTGGCTTAACACAACAAAAGTTTACTTCTTTCTTACCCAGAGTCCACTGCGAGTCTTGACTATCTGTACAGGCAACTAAATGTTTTCCAAATGATAACTCTTTAATCCAGGCTGATTGTCTTGTAGTTCTATCTTTTCAATACTAGGCCTCCCCACTATGGCAGGCAAAAGGAGCCTTAAAATGTCTTGCACCAGCAATTAAATTCTTCATATTGGATGTGTCATTCACAACCCATTGGCCAGAAGTGGTCACATGTCCCTGCCTAATTGCAAGTAGGGATGGGCAGGATGGGTAGGAAAGAGCATGTCTCCCGTGGGTTCAGAAAAAAAGAATGGGGTGTGTGAGTGCACCAGAAGTCTCTCACAAATCCACCTTCTAGTCACTAAGTACTCACCGCCCTGGCCAGGTAGGTCAGTTGGTTGGAATGTTGACCTGATATTCGAAGGTTACAGGTTTGATCACTGGTCAGGGCACGTACAAAGAAGCAACCAATGAATGCACAAATAAGTAAAACCAAAAAAATCCATGTATCTCTCTCAAATCAATAAGGTAAAAAAAATTAAACCACACACATTAAAAAAATGCTTGCTCACTCTTCTTTCTACAGATGGAATAAAATACAGTGACTTCTTCTTGAGGGATACAGCCCCAAAGTCCCACCCAGGCAGTTTTATTCCCCTAAAACCGCGCTCTTTAAGAGTACTAGGTCAGGTCTGGATGTTGCTTGCAGTGGTCTGGAGACCCAGGGACCAAAAGGATAGTTCCACCTCCTTACTGTACAGTGGTGGAATGGTAAAACCATAACCACAATAAATATTCAGAAGGGGAAGAAGAACAGAAATACTGTCAGGGTCTCTTACCATGAGCATGGGGAATATTTCTGGTTAGACCTTTTTTTCTGTTAACTAAGAATTCCTTCTCCCACATTCTCGCCACCTTCTAAAAGGATCTTATTTTTATTGTCTTCCTTGGCTACATCTGAATGGCACCTGAGGAACATGCCATCCTTGGGAATTGCACAGCTTTTTTTTTTTTTTTAGTCTGTTTCCTAGACAATTGGGGGCTGATGTTGTTTTGTTTTGTTTTTAAAGCTCAGAACAATCACTAATGCTTTTAGCCAAGGTTCGTAGTTTCTTTTTCAGTACAACTCTTAAAGTAGGCCTTTTATCTGCTTCCAGTCAGATTCGCATGCTAGTTACCATGCCATTTTTTTTAAGACAAGTAGTTATTGGGTTGCCTATATTTCTCCGATTTCCTACCTCCATACCTCTACTGACTTTTCAGCAAGTATATTCTGTCTATAAGTTGTGATGGGAGAGCAATCCACTTAACCATATTTTCATCTTCAGGCATTATTTTTCCCAAGTGAGGAGAAAAATTAAGGTTCCACACCCTTAATTAATCCATTGAAAAAAATTGCAAAATAAATATGAAGTCCATATTTGTAGTTATGATCTTCGCTGCAAGGCTGAGTTTTAATGATCCTTTGTCACTTAAGTCTTTCTCAAGTTTATCTTCTGCTTGGAGTTGAAAATACAACCATGCACAGCTCAGAATTTCTGGTTATCTCTGTTTCCGCATTTTAGGTTTACCAATTAACCATTCCTTTCTGAGCTCCATTCTTATAACCTTGCCAAATGCATCCAATAGCACCCAATATGCACTGTCTTATTTTTCAATCTTTTCACTTGTTGAAACCTCACTATCTACATTTTCTCCCTTCCCAGGTTATTGTTGGTTAGAGTTATATCAAATGTTTTACCACTGTATAATGTGAAGAGCTATGTTTCTAGCCTCTAATATTAGGTTTCTATGTATACTAACAAACCTCTAAGCTAATGCCACATATTTTTGGTTCTTTGAGCAGCACCCAACTCCCATGACCAATATCTGTATTTTTCAGGATAGGCTAGACTTAATGCTGTGTTAACAAATGACTTCAGAGTCTTAGCAGTTTATTCTGCAATCATGCAGCCTTTTGCTGATTTGGGACTCTTTCTGGCCTCTGTTTCCCATGAGGTAACTCAGTGATCCAGGCTCATAGGAGATATACCAAACTTAGCTGCATTATGTGAAACATGTAGCCTTCTTGGTTGATGTGACAGTGCATCAGGTCCAGAAATGACAGTCATCACTTAACCCACAACTTATTGGCCAGAACTAATTGACAAAGTCCTTCCTAACTTTGAGGAGGTTTAGAAAGATGCTGTCTTCTGTGTGTTACATATGTGGAGCATCAGATATTGGTGAACACTAATAATGTCTACAATATCATACAAATGAATTTAGTACAGAAACAGTACAACATTTTGAATAGCAAAAGATTTTAGGTAAGAATATGCCAGTCAGTGAACATGGTAGGTTGACCTTACTTTCTCCAATCTGGTCTAAATGGCCATTCCCTGTATAAAGCCCAGCTTGGTTCATTGTTAAATAACTGAAGTAATTATTATTTTATATCCTTCTCACACTTCTTTATGCCAAGTACTACTTTTTAGGAGGTCTTTAGTAACAATAGTACTTAAGAATTAAAAGAGTTATAATTTGTAATAATTTGTTTTTGTAGCATATTAGCTTTAAATACTTTTTGTCCTCTTATTTTTATTGTGGTAAAAAGTATATATAATAAAATGTACTATTTTAACCATTTAGGTGCACAATTCAATGACATTAAGTACACTCATAATGTTGTACAAGTATCACCATTCATTTTTAGAACCCTCTCCTAATTCCATATAGAAACTCTGTACCCAGTAAATAATAACTCTCCAATTCTTTTCCTTCAACCCCCAGCAATTGTTATGCTACTTTCTCTCTGAATTTGCCTGTCCTGGGTACCTCATGTAAGTGAAATCAAACAATGTGACCTTTTGTGTCTGTCTTGTTTCACTTAGCATAATCTTTTCAAGGTTCATCCATGGCTCAGTATGTATTAAAATTTTACTTCTTTTTAAAAGCTGATTGATACCCTGTGGCATATATATAACACAACTTTAAATATTTTTTATTCTTAAGTTTTAAGATGAATGCAATATGAAACTTAATAACATCGTAAAGGTTTACCTTTTGAGAAGCAGGAATTCCAAATTCTGAATCTTCAAAATCTCATTTATTTTTTTTTCCTTTTTACCTTGAGTATAACTTGTTTCCTTAATAATGCAAAGTACTAACTTGAACATATCCTCTTGAATTATCTACTTCAAGTACTCTGAAAACTGGAGAAGTTAAACTGAGTTTACAAAGTCTGCTAATTGTTAGTCACAAGACGGGTCCAGGGAGTGGTGGTGGGAAAATGTTGACAACTGCATTTGAACAACAATAAAGAGAAGGAGGGAGAAGAAGAGGGAGGGAGGGATGGAGGGAGGGAGAGAGAGAGAGAGAGAGAGAGATAGAGAGAGAGAGGAGAAGGTGGAGACTGGCAAGGTGACAAGGTGAAGCTGCTGAGCACTCTTTGGTCAAGGTACTCAGAGCCAGACTGCAGCAGATCATACACATGGCAGCTGCACAAACACTTGAACCCAAAAACATTCTAAGGAAGTTTATTATTGAAATATATGTATCTGATGTCTCCTTCAGATCATCACATTATGGGGCAACCTAGGTGATAGTGGTGAGGGAAAGGGAAATGGGGCTTTAAAATTCATTTCCTGGTCTGGAAAACAGTAATTGCTGAGTGTCTCATGAAACTGACACAAGGGACAAAATTTAGCATTGGGTTTCCAAAAGTATTGGCCCATGTTGGGGTCATTGTTCAAAATATTTATTCAATCATTCAACAAAAAATTTATTTGTTGAATTTTTATTTATATAATATGCTGGCCAGTTGAAAAGCAGAGATGAAAAAGTTTATCAGGAAATTGCTTCAACTTTACTAGGGAAAGAAGCAAACAATTGTGGGATGATTATAGGAAGCAGGAACATATGAAAGTTTCACTAGGGCAATCAGGTTTT